TATTTCACACTCGCACTCACTTCCAGGAGCTCTGTGTGCCAACCTCACAAAGTTCCCAACAACCCACAGTCATCTCATCGTACTAAACTAAATGCCACAGCCAAGCAGAGTTGGTCTAGCAGTGAGCCTGGTGACCTACTTAACACGAGTGGATAGAAACCTATCACTAGTCTGAACCCCACACCAGAAAGAAGGGTTAATGTCTTACATCACTAAGGGCTCTTCCAGCTATGATCAAAGACAAAGAAAAAATAATGAACTAAGGAGCATAATTTACATTATGTTTTCATTCGGGTCTGAAGGTTTTCCCTAGAAATGCTCATGATTTGATAATGTGGTCATTGGAAAAATAAGTTAATTATAAAATAATGAGTCTGAGCACAGATGATTTTAACACTGCTTTCTTGCTTGCTTGGTGCCATTTAATTTGTAAAATTAAAATTGAAAAAAAGGAGCAACAAAAAACTGAAAGACTGTCTGAGGTATAATTGAGGAGATGGCTCAGTCTGTACAATGCTTGCTGCATATGCCTGGAGACCTGAGTTCAGATCATTAGCACCCATGTAAAAGCTGGGAGCAATGGCAGTCCATAATCCCAGCACTGAGCGTGTGGTGGAGAAAAAGATCCCTGGGGTTCACTGCTTAATTTGCAGCTTCAAGTTCAGTGAGAGACCATGTTTAAAACACATAGAATAGAGAGCAATAGAGGATGGCACTTCATGTCAGCCTCTGGCCTACACACACACACACACACACACACACACACACACACAGAGAGAGGGGGGGGGAGAAATACACATAGAAAAATTCATTGGACACAATAATTAATATATTTAAAATGATGCAATAATATCTGGTGAAATATCTATATTGCTTATGTGGTCTCCTGAAGTTAAATTATACATATAAGAACATTCAGATGATTTCTATTGAAAATGTTTTCAGAAAGTTCATGTCTTGAAGCTGTGGCCCCTAAGGCAAAGCCAGGGTGGGTCAGTCAAGAGAGGTGAGCTCAGTCATGGGATGTGGCACATAGGAGGTAAGCCCACCATCCCAAGGCTCTTAGCAGGGATTGGTTCAATTGTTGCCCTCATTGATGAATTGCAATGGAAAGGGACCAGCCCCACCCAGTACTATGAAGTACTTCCAGTTGCTCTGCTCTCTCTTACAGGCAGAAGGAAGGGAAGAAGCCAGTCTGTCCAGGCACACTCAGCAATAAGCCAGAGGCCACCTACTCTGAGCTCCTCAGGGCCCATCCTAGAGAGCCACCAAGCCTTCCTTCAGACTTCCAGCTCTGTGCACGAGCTAGCCCAGAGACCCTCAAGCAGCCGGCTCTCTTTGCACACCTCGGCCGCATCCCTGCACTCCCAGCCACCTCCTGTTACCACCACAGGTCACCTGAGTGTCCGAGAGCGGGCGGAGGCACTCATTAGGTCTAGCCTGGGCTCTTCAACCAGCTCTACTCTCAGCTTCCTCTTTGGCAAAAGGAGCTTCTCCAGTGCACTGGTCATATCCGGACTCTCTGCTGCAGAGGGAGGCAACACCAGTGACACCCAGTCATCTAGCAGTGTCAACATTGTGATGGGCCCTTCTGCTAGGGCTGCTGGCCATGCTACTCGGGTAAGGACTGCCCCAGGATGGGCAGGAGGGCATCAGAGGGCCTGGGGTTCCCGCTCACCAGGGTAGGTTGCTCTATAGCAAACAAAAGAGCATCCCCAGCCTTTGGGTCACAAGTTCCACAGTTGTTAGTAGGGTAGCCTGACATAATTATTTCCATAAGTCAGAAGCCTGGGAATGGGGAGAAGCCTCCTCTCATCCACTCTATGGAAGCAGGATGCCTTTCTTCCCAACTGTGCCACTCTGGCCTCAGGGAGAAGAAAGGACAAGAGTAGACGCTGGAGTTAAATTGTCATGGACTCCCAGTTTTAAAGATGACCAACCACTTCCAATGGTTCCATCCCAGAAACAGAGTTTTAAAAGAATCTATTAAATAAGATGCTACTTGCTCAGGATTCATGTGTACCGATACTAGATGACTAGCTAGGATTCTTACATGAGAAAGAAAGAGATTGACAGACACTCAGAAATTCTCTTATGCTCTCTGTTAGGAAAGAAAAAAAAAATGAGTTAAGGCAAAGCTCCAGCAGATTCCTGTTTCCTATCCAAAGAGAAGATACTGGTGACTCCAGGAGTAAAACCACCACTTAATCTTTTTGTTTTCTCCTTCAATGAAAGAATACAAACTACTATTCCTTTCTCATTCCATCTGTCAAAACTTATTCTATGGGCGTACTTCGAGGGTTCTGACAAATTTTTCTTTTCTGTCTCTAGCAAGGATGATAGGTTGTTAGGACTCTGAGCATCCAGAATCCAAAGGCTCTTGTGTAACTGCTGGGTTGAGCCTGCAATGGCAGCATCAGCACCACGGCTTGGTGGGTGGAGAGGGTTGACCAGGGCTGGAAGGGTGGCAGGCTGACAATACATAGAGCCACTCCCTGGGGCTCCCTTTGGATTGGTATATCCAGCTCTCCTGAGCAAAGCCATGTAGACATGCAGCTTGGTGGCATATCTTAATCTCAGAGGCTGCCTATCAGTCCTGTCCAGCTTAAGAACCCACCTTCAATGCATGCAGCCACCCTGGCCTCAGCTCCTATGATGTCAGGGTAAAAATGGGTGGGATGACTTGGGCCACTCAGGCAGTGAGCATAGGCTAAACTGTCTCTGCTTCTTTTCTTTTTGAAGCACTTCTCTGAGCCATGTGAACCCACTGATACCCCAGAGCAAGGGCAGCTTCAAGATCGACGGCAGGCAGAGGCCGTGGCAGAGAACCTGGGGGTGCTGTGCCGGAGAGCAAGCCAGGAGGACATGGGCCTGGATGATACAGCTTCCCAGCAGAGTGCCTCCGATGAGCAATAGTGGAACACATGTCTGGTTGGAGAGATTGGGACTCTCTCCCTGCTCCAAAACCACATGGTTCTTCCTGAGGGAAAAGAAGAGCTGTTCTAGAAAACAATAACTCTATCTCAGGTTATTGAAAACACTCTCACATAGTGGGGGTAGGGAGAAGACACTGCACCTCCTCCCTCAAGCACTGCACAAGAGTTGGACATTTCTCACAAAAGCCATGCTATATCTTAAAACAACTAGAATGAATAGAGCCCATGACTGGCTCCTTCCTGCCCTGGTAACATTAGAACAGCTGCATGCTAAATTATTGGCATTTTACACATTATTGTCACGGTGAGAGAGCACTGAGTTACAGCTCCTGAGGCCATCAGCAGGCCAGAGGTATTCAGGTTAAGGCCAGCTGGAAGTGCAAGCCACTAGTAACAGCCTGATGGTGCATTGGTCCAGGATGAGAGTTTAGAGGTGATATGCTCCTCCCTCAAGTTCAGGGCCACCCAGGACCCCTGCGTGCTTCCTAGGAATGCATGCTTGTCTTCCAAGCTGAGCAAGCTCTACTGTACATGAGCACATTTGCATACACCTTTGTTTTAGGGATTAAAATGTTTACAGTCATGACTGTGTCTGTCTGCTGTCCTTCCTAAACACATCTTTTTTACTCTGAGAAAGACCTTTGTGGAGAGGGAGGCAAATCCCATCTCAGATATTCCTACAGGACGGAGCAGAGGCACAACCTCTGAATGAGAAAAGAGGGGTATCTATTGACCTTGCTTTGCCAGCCTGCTGGAATGGCAGTGGGAAAAAGAAAGAAGTACTCCATTTAGGCAAGTCTCCAAAGCATCTAAGATTGGAAAATGGGAACTGCAAAGGATGGATATAGCAGTCCCTCGCCACTGGGAAGGAGGTAGTAATGGGGTGTGTGTGTGTCTGTGTGTGTGTGTGTGTGTGTGTGCCTGTGTGTGCCTGTGTGTGTGTGTG